CATCCTGGAAAAGTGATAGCGGGGGAGGGGAATGAGCTGAACTGGTGGCAGCACCGCACAAGCCTGAGCGAGAGATGGCTGGAGCTGCAAGGCTGTCAGGGCTCAGCGGAAGCGCCGGGATCAGCGCCAGGCTCCAGCTGGAGCCTGGCGCTGATCCTGGCGCTTCCGCTGAGCCCTGAAGAAGCACCAATCAGCTGGAAAGCGGCACTGATCCTGGTGCTTCCACTGAGCTTAGAAGAAGCGCTGATCAGCTGGAATGTTGCAGCATCTCCAGGGTCTTGTGATTTACATTCAGATGCTTGGCAACTGATTCATATTTATGACGGTCACAGTGTCCGAGGGTCATGTGAAATGACCAAAACTTGTACTTTATCACTTTTTTCCTTTTTTTTTTTTTTTGGTCATCAAGTTTTTGACACCTTGCTAGGCGACTGGTGGTACTCGGATGTTGCCATATCCTAAAAGTGGTACAATGGGTGAAAAGGTTGAAAAGCCCTGCCTTAAGGAGGTGATTATGGCATTCCTCAGATTGTTGGATGCAACCCAGTTTGAAAGACCTTTGGCACACAGTGAGAGGATTCCCAGACAACTGGGAGGATTTCAACACATTGCCCAAACTGACCAATCTGGGTGCCCTTTAGCCACTTTTGCAGGAGAAGGCTGCTCTAAGGACGGGGAGGAATCTGCAAAGCAGAACCACAGAAAGGAAGATGATAGTTTGCTCACAGAGGAAGGAGAGTTGCTCCTTGTTGCTTTTCCAAGGAGCTCTGACTTAGAGCTTTGCTTAAACCTTTATCAAAGCAAGTATCCCTGTCAAAATAATAAAATTGTAGATTTGATTTAGCCCAATATTTTGATTGATTGGTGGTAAATTGTGAAAGATTGATTTATTAGTAATTGTATGGAAATGTAAGAATGTGGCCATATTTTAAAAAGACTCAAAATTATTTGTAGTCTCTTTTGAGAAGAAAAAGTTTAAATATAGACCTGAAATTGTAAAGTGCATCAGTAAATAAGAAGCACTTATACTATTTTTTGCTCAGTTGTTTAGTTTAAAAAGTCCTAATTACAAAATACCAAATTTCTATAGTTAATTTGGAAGTTTATGTTTTGCCCTTGTGTAGGTTTATCAATGCTAGAAGGCGAATTCTCCAGCCAATGTTGGATTCTAGCTGTTCTGAAACACCAAAAACAAAGAAAAAAACAGCCCAAAACCGACCAGTTCAGAGGTTCTGGCCAGACTCCATTGCATCAGGAGTAGCTCAGCATCAAACTAATGAACTTACTATGTCAGACGGTAAGCAGATGCTTTACTTCATTAAATAGCTTTAAAAAATGGCTTTATTTTTTACTTTGCTGCTTGATGAGCCAATTTGTAAATATTTTATTCAATTTCTTTGTATGAAGCCTACTGAAAATAATGAATTAATATAGGTTTAATTTATTAAATACATTTTCATGGACTGCATAGAAAATAGAAATGATTAATATCTGCCAAAGAGGAACTTTCTTCCCTTCCATGATCAGACAAGTATATTTATAGTGGTGCATTGAAGCTAAATATCCCTGTTCCGATATTTAATTCCGTATGTCACAGCTTTAATATATTAGCTTAACTACTGATGTCCAACTTAGTATGTAAATAATTGCTCTAGATGTTGCAAATCTTGTAATGCTAGTTTGAGGTGGTAATGCCTTAACACTTCCAAAATTCTGAATTCTTATTCAGTCCAAACTAGACTAAAACAAAATGAACACAATGTCATTAAAGTGACTTACTGAAGAAAAGAATGGACTAGATGGTCCGTGTAATTGTAATTCATTTCCAATTGTTAAATTTACAGCATTCAATCTAAAACTTTATTTTGGTTTATTTTAGAAAATAAGATGAAATGAATATTTCAGAATGAGTTGTGGGTTTTTTAAAAAAATATCTAATTGTTTTTTCCAATTGGATCTCTACTTTTCTCCATTTTTAGGAGCTGTTGTAACAATTACAGCTCCCGTCAACATGAATGTGGACAGTCTCCAATCACTTTCATCTGATGGTACTACTTTGGCTGTTCAGCAAGTCATGATGGCAGGGCAAAGTGAGGATGAATCTGTAGACAGCACTGAAGATGATGGAACAGACCTCTCAACTACAAATATCAGTGGGCTGGTCTTGGATAACAGTGATTCTCTGCAATAGGAAGCAAGAGGAGCTGACCTAAAAATATTAGGAAAGACAATGAACTGACTGACTTTTTATAGTTTGCACAGCAAACATTTTACACAAGTTTTATTTCTAATAAGTTTTATATGTAGATATAGAAGAGTGCACTTTTTTGTATTTCATAGTAAGCTTAAAGAGTGTCTTTGCAGGTGCAGCAACTTCTTTCAAATGTGTTGTTTTTTGCTTTTAATTTTGA